TTCAAAAATTCACTCCAAACTTACAAGGTGACTTGAGCACAAAAATCCAGTCTTTTTCTTGTCTTCTTTCCTTTTCCTCCTCTTTATCTTATAGAAACCATGATATTCTTTACAACAAATAAATTTTTCAAAAGGTCCATACAACATCATTAGCCAAAAGGGAATGGAAATTAAAACCATAAGGAGATGCCATATAGCGACCAGAATAGTTAAAATGAATAGAGAACCTGGAATTCTAATGGACTATTAGTGAGACTATAAAAGGATAAAGCCATTCTGCAAAACAATTTGGCAATTTCATAAAAATACACATTTATCATATGATCCAGCAATTCCATTTCTAGGTACTTACCTAAGTGAACTGAGACTGAATAAAAAAAAACACTGTACTTGAGTGTTTGAATAATCAATATCTGTGTTTGAGTGTTTTATTATTCATATTATTTTTTATATTATGAATAATATTATTCACAGTAGCTCAATATTGGGGAGAAAACCCTCATATCCATTAACTGTTGAATGAATAACAAAATGTAGGAAATCTATGTAATAGAATACTACTCAGTAATAAGAAGAAATAAACTACTGATACATGCAATAACAAATATGAATTTCTAAAGCATCATAGCCAGGCCTAAGAGGCCATGCATTATATGACTCCATAGACTATTCTGGAAAAGGAAAAACTTTAATTAAAACATAAAATAAATTAAAACATTGGTTGCCAAAGCTGTTGTTAGGTGTAGGAGGCTGACAGCAAAGGGACATGAGGGAACTTGCCTAAGATGACAGAAGAATTCTGTAACTTAATTGCGGTAGTATTTATACAAATGTATACATTTGTCGAGACTCACTAACATTGTAAAATTAAAAAGGATGAATTTTACTGTATGTAAATTATGCATTTTTAAAAATGGGGATCAGAGTTAAGACTCATCAAAAAAACGCATATAAACTACATTTGCTCTGAGTGAATGACTTAATTGAGGAACAGTCAACTTGAGGCTTTTGGGAAATATTTTCACACTTTAAAAAGGACATGAGTAAGTTGTTATGGACTGAATTGTGGTTCCCTAAATTCACATGTTGAAGCCCTGATCCGGATGTGACTGAATTTGGAGATAGGGTCTATAAGGAAGCCATAAAAGTTAACTCAGAGAAGGACAGGCATTAATCAAATAGGTCCCATATCCTTGCAAAAAGAGGAAGACCCACCAGCTCTCTATCTCCATGTCAGCACAGAGGAATGCTGTGCAAGGAGGCACTGGCAAGGTGCATGTCTGCAAGCCAAGAAGAGAGCTCTCACTAAAAAACACATTTAACAGCATTTTGATCATGGACTTTTAGCCTCCAAAACTGTTAGAAAGTAAATGGTTATTATTTAAGCCACCTGGTCTTAAACATTTTATTATGGCAGCCTGAGCAGACTAATACTTAAGGGAAACATCCACTTTTTGGCTTTGGACACAGCTTGTGTGACAATGTGATGACTGGAATGTCTGCAGATACCTTGAGTTCATGAAGGGAAAAGCCAGAGGGCAAAAGTTGAGAGGCTGTGGATATTAGCTGTAGAGAAAGAATTTGGGTCCTTCATGATTTCAATGAACTTCCACAAACCAAGCCTGCCTCTCCCCAGCAACCCTGCTTGTCACTTAGTTGGATTCCTACCTGCTCATTTCCCACCTGACAGAGCTCCAGTGGTGGTGATGGGGATGACTCCAACTACAGGTGGCTGTGGGAGTATAGGAGCCACAGGGACTCTATATATACAAGGAGCCTTTGGTCAGGAACTGACTGAAAAACAATTTTAACCATTGGAAAACTCCTAAAAATTTAACCTAGATCTTTCATGCTACCTTGTTTGGAATGAGTCTTATCTTTTGTAGCACTTGTCCTTCACAGATTATCTATTTCATAAATTCTTTATCTATTTTGAAATTTCATTTGGAAAAACATTTAGTCTATTGCTGTTTCACATAGACCCTAAGCCCTGTGATAAACTAAATGCTCTGGCCCAGCCTGTAACTTCTCTGGGCACAAAGGAGATTTGGTTCTTAAACAGTTCAATGCAAGCTAAGCTACCAGGGCTCTGCTCTGTTGTAGGCTCTTCCGGGACATTAGTGAAGGCAACCTGTCACTTGTTCAGGATTATGGGCAGGGCCATGAGCTATGGTGTGCAGGACCTAGATATGAGCTGCTATTTGTTTCTGCAATATGTGTGATCATGGGAGGACTGTGTATCATATTATTCTACTCCCTTGATAAAGTGAATGGTCTAGGAATGGATATTTTACCCAAGTCAGGGCAATCACAGACAGTAAATTCACTGAAGATAGTGAGAGGCCAGTAGGTAGCCATGTTTACAACTTCTTGAAAAGAGTGTATATACAGTAGTAGAGGATGGGTGGAAAAGATGAGAAAGCCAAACATTGAGAGACAATCATAGTGGCAACTGAGTTCCAACCCTTAAGATCTCTACAGAAGACCTATTTCCTGTGGCAAGTCTTTTGATTATGTGAGATGCCCCAATATCTTTCACTAAGCCTTGCCTTCTGTTTTATGCATTTCTGTCACTTGTAACCAAAATTAATACTGACTATAGTAGGCTTCAAGGGCTGAGTAATACAGCTAACCCTCAGACTTCAAATCACAATTTCCAAAGTGATATGATAAAAGATGTAACCTGGGCAAATAACAAAATCTCAGGTATTTGGTATAATGTGTGTTTAAAAAGCTTCTGTACTTTCTAGGTTGTGGTGATACTTGGAGTCAGCTATAAAGGAGCTGACAGCATTAGTTTCTGAGATTCAGAGAATGATTCACTTGAATTGAAATAGAAGTCTAGTGTCCTCAGAGCTAGGCCTTGGCTGAACATTAGTGTTCAAGTAAGAGTTGTAGGGGTGCACAGTACAAAATAACAAAATAGTAATTGTGTGATCTGGGTAAATATTCAAAGAGAGGTTAGGATAAGGATGCTTTTCAGAAACCCAACAGGTGCCAAACAGTCAGTCTATCTTAGATAGATATGAGATTTGTGACAGACAGGATACCTTTCATGGCTTCATTCAACAACCTTTAATTACATGTCTACCAAAATTAGATTATGTGCGTATAACCAGGTTTGGTTCTGCCTGATATAAGTGAGTAAGTAGAATTGTATAATGTGGCAGAGCTATGTGGGCAGAGCTTCCAAGAGGATAGGCTTTCAAAGGCTAATAGGTTTTACTTGTTTGTGGGAAAAATAAACTCACTATCTCAGATTTCTTCATATTTCCCAGCTCTGATCTCTCCACTGGGCTTCAAACTCATATATTCATCTTATCTTGGAAATCTGAAAGTTATTTCAAATTTAGCATAACCAAAGTAAAACTATTGCTCTGTCAGTCTTCTCTATCTCAGCAAATGGCTATACCACCCACTTACTGAGTTGCTCAAGTCAAATATCTGTGTCATCTCTGATTCCTCTTTCAATCTGACCCCATTTTCCTTTATCTAATTCATCATCAAGTCCTCCTGGGTCTTAAGCAGCTCAGCTATCCCAAGCAGAGGAGTCCATTCATACATAAGAAATCAAACCCTCCTCAAAAGAACTGAGTGATTTGACAAATTCGTAGTCACAAACATGATTACTGTGATACCTATTGGTTTGTTAATGAAATCTTGCCATTTTATTTTATTTGTATAAAACTTACCTCTTTGAACATTGTCCTTCTCATGTTTATTAGAGTAGAAATAATATAGTTTTCTGGGCTGACTGACTTATTTTCTTAATTATAATTCAAGAGTATTAAATATACAGCATTCCTGAAAGTAAGCTTCACCCCTTTCTATCATAGGTAGGAAAAGTTATGGCACAAATGTTGAATGAATGACAATTAAATGTCTGTGGCAATAAATGTTAGTTTGTCATAAATCATTTGTGCTATATTACTTGAAAATATCACCTAGATAAACCCTGGTATGGCAAAAGTAAAATTCACTTTATTTCTTTTTACTCTTTCAGCCTCCTTAAATGGAGAGGAGGGGGAAAAGTGAGAATGATTATGAAAAGAAATAGATTGACTTAGTAAGTGAGTCAGGTCAATTAAAGTTTAGTGCTCCTCAAAATAATGAGTATCTGGGACTAATGAAAAGAATTTTAAGGGTCTTTAAACATGTAATTCACCATTTGAAAATCTTCCTTTGAAATAAGCAATGATTTTGAAGTTGAAAATTTCCTTTATGAGTCAGAGATCAGGTACATGACCTGCAGGTAAAAGTAGACCATCACAATGTGCTTACTTCATCTTCAGCAATGCTGATAAAATCCATCAATCCACAACTCCAAAACTCATGCCATGGTCATGATATGGGTTTCTTTCTTCATGTTTTACAAAGTTTTTTTTAAATATTTAGGGTCTGGCATTTTTAATATATTACGTGAGATGAGGAGGAAACAGTATGTAATAAGAAATCCTGTTAAATATCTATTTTTACTACTTACCTTCATCCTATAGTCCAAATGGCTTAGTAGAATAGCTGTTAAACTCAGTTGCAACCTAGATAATCTGGTCAAAAGAGCACATTTCCCAGACCTGAGTTAAATATGTGGCCTTGCCTCTTGAACATGTGACAATGAGGAATGAGGTCATCTTTTGTGCATTAAGTTATCTGCCTACAGATAACTATTATCCCATGTAGATCATATGTTAACAGATCTCTGAGACATTAAGCTTCCTTAGACAAGAGAGTTGTAAAATACAATAAAACTACAATTCCTGGATGTCTTTCTTTCTCTCTAAAAATCAAAACTTTTGTAAGCACTCTAGGAAGGATAGGTAGGAGAAATAAACCCTCCAAACAAGGAAATGGAACGGCCTGTTTGATATCTATTAGAATGAAATTATTTATATAGGCATATGTAAGTACTATGTAATAGGACTAAAGTCCAATAAGGATAAAATATAAGACACAGTTCTTGTTTAGTTCATTCATAGTAATCAATGATTAAAAACAAACGGGTGCTCGCTTAGGCAGCACATACACTAAAAAATCAGAATGATACAGAGAAGATTAGCATAGCCCCTGTGCAAGGATGACACACAAATTCGTGAAGCATTCCATATAAAACAAACAAACAAACAAACAAACAAACACTTGGACACATATAAAGAATACTCCACCTAATAACAGCAAAATATTCTTTATTCAAGTACCCATCTTTTGGACTGAATTATGTTCCCCCCAATATGTTGAAGTTGCCTAACCCACAGAGTCATGGTGTTTGGAAATATGGCCTTTAGGAGATAATTAGTTTTAGTTGAGATCATGAGGGTGAGGTCCTCATGATTTGATTAGTACCCTTATGAGAAGAGATCAGAGAACTTTCTAGCTCCCTCTGCCATGCTTGGCTTCATGGAGAAGGTGGCCACCTGCGAGTCAGGAAGAGGGCCCTACCAAGACCCAAATCTGTCTTGATCTTGGACTTCCCACTTTTCAGAACTGTGGGAAATAAATGTCTGCTGCTTAAGCCTCCTGGTTTATGGTATTCTGTTAAGGCAGTCTAAGCTCAGTAATACAAACCCATAGACCATGCACAAACATACACTATTATCATAACAGATCCCCACAAATTTAAAAGAACTGAAATCATATAGGGTATGTTCTCTAACCATACTGGAATCAAATGAGAAATCAATAAGAGAACAACAACAAAATACACTTTTCAGAACTGTGGGAAATAAATGTCTGCTGCTTAAGCCTCCTGGTTTATGGTATTCTGTTAAGGCAGTCTAAGCTCAGTAATACAAACCCATAGACCATGCACAAACATACACTATTATCATAACAGATCCCCACAAATTTAAAAGAACTGAAATCATATAGGGTATGTTCTCTAACCATACTGGAATCAAATGAGAAATCAATAAGAGAACAACAACAAAATATCTCAAAACACAAGGAAATACAACACGCATTTCTCCATCATCTATTAAAGAGGCAGTCTCAAAGGAAATTAAAGTATACACAGAGTTGAATGGAAACAAAAACACAAGTCAAAATATATGGAATGAAGCTATAGCAGTGATGAGAAGAAATTTTATGGCACTAAAATGTTTATATTATAAGTGAGTAAAAGTTGTAAACCAATAATCTAAATTCCAACCTCAAAAAACTACAAAAGAAGAGTAAAATAAACCCAAAGCAAGCAGAAATAAATGAGAAAGATGAGAGCAGAAATCAATTAACTTGAAAACAGAAAAACAGAGAAAATCACTTAAGAAAAATCTGGCTCTTTGGAAAAAAGAAAGTAGACCATCATAATGTGCTTACTTTCTTCAGCAATGCTGATAAATCCACCAATTTTTATCCACCAATTTTAAAATACACCAAAAAAATTCCAAATTCAATAACTTGGAAGAAATGGACTAATTCTTCAAAGTCCACAATTTACCAAAACTCAACCAAGATGAAATAGATAACTGGATAGCCCTTTAAACATTAAAAGGTTTAATTCATGACTTAAATCTTCTTAGAAGAACTGTTCAAGCACAGATGTCTTCAGTGGGGAATGTATAAAAAATTAAAGAACTAACAACAATTTCACACAATCTCTTACAAAAATTTTTAGCTTTTAGAACAGGAGGAAACACTTTCCAACTCATCTTATGAGGTCAGTATTACCCTAATACCAAACTAGACAAATACAGTACAAAAGAGAAAAACCACCCAATATTTCTCATGAATGTAAATGCAAAAATCCTTAACAAAGTATTATACCAGCAAAATGAGTTTGGCAATGCACAAAAAGATGTATACACGATGACCAAGTGGGATTTATTCCATGTATATAAGACAGATTCAACATTTGAAAATCAGTGTCATCTACTATATCAAGAAGTTAACAAATTAAAATCACATGATCAATCAGCATAGAAAAAGCAATGGACAACATCCAACATGCACACATTACAAAAACTCTCAGAAAGACATGAACAGAGGGGAGTTACCTCAATTTAATAAAAAGCATCTATGAAAATATACAGATCACATCATACTTAATGGTGAAAAACTGAATGTGCTCCCCCTACTATCAGGAGCAGGGCAAGGATGTCTACTCTCACCATTCTTATACAAACATAATATACTGGAAGTTATAGCCATTGCAATAAGGTAACAAAAAGAGAGGAAGGAATACAAAACAGAAAGGGAAATACAATTATTTGTGGTTGATGATGACATAACGGACTACATAAAGAATCTTAAGGAACATACAAAAAAGAAAACCTCCTATAACTAATAAGTGAGATCATCGAGAGTTCAGTGTATAAGATCAACACATAATATCAAGTGCATACTAACAATGAAAATATGGAAATTGAAATGAAAATCTCAGTGCCATTTAGAGTTCCAAATAGAACAAAATACTTGCACATACACTTAACAATACATGTAAAGGATCTGTATGTTGGAAATTACAGAATGTCAGAAAAAGAAATCAAAGAAGACCTAAATAAATAGTGATATATATTCTATTCTGGGTAGGAAGACAATATGGCAAAGATGTCAACTGTCTCCTTATTGATCTATGGAATTAATGCAATTCTTATAAAAATCCCAGTAAACTTTTTTGTAGGCATAGACAAACATCAACAATTTATATGAAAAGGTACAGATGCTAGAATATTTAAAACAGTTTTGATACAGAATAAAGAGGGAGGAAATAGCCTATTTGATAGTAAGACTTACTCTGGAGCTACAGTAATCAAGATGGTACAGTATTGGAGCAAATATAGACATATAAATCAATGAAACAGAGTAGAGAATTAAGAAATAGACCACATAAAAGTGCTCAAATGATTTTTTCAAGGGTTCTATAGCAAACCGATGGAGGAAGTATGTTATTTTTTAAAAATGACACTGGAACAAGTGGACATCCATATGTCAAAAAAAATGAATCTCCAGTTAAGCCTAATGCCAACTCAGTGTGATTACATACAAGTGCTCATGTAAATTTACTTGTGTAAAACATACAACTTCTAGGGAAAAAAACATGGGAGAAAATATTTAGGATCCAGGGCTTTGCAATGAATTCTCAGACTTGACATAAAGCAAAGCATGATCCAGAAGAGGAAACCTGATAAATTAGACCTCAACACAGTTAAAATCTTTTGTTCTGTGAAAGCCCATGTCCTAAGGAAGAAGACAAGCTACAGATGGGAGAAGATATTTTCAAACTACATATCTGACAGAGAAATAGTATTTAGAATATATAAAGAACTCTGAAAATCCAACAGTAAAAAACAAATTAGAAATATGGGAAGAGGACATCAAAAGACATCTCACCAAATAGGATGTACAAGTGGTAAATAGTTACATTGAAATGATGTGCAACATCATTAGCATTAGGAGAACATAAATTAAAACCAAAATGAGATGCAACTACACACTTAATGTAATAGCTAAATAAAAAACAGTGGTAACATCAAATACAAGGATGCCAACAAACTGAATCACTCATGTTTTACTTGTGAGAATGTAAAATGCACTCCGAAAATCAGTTTGGCAGTTTCTTATATTCCTAAACATGCAATTAGTATAGGGTCTAGTAGTTCCACTCTGTGTACTTATCCCAGAGATATGAAAATTTATGTTCACAAAAACCTGTAAGTGAATGTACACTGCAGTGTTAATGTGTAACAGCTAAGAAAATGGAATCAGCCAAGATGTTCTTCAACAAAACAATGGTTCAACACATATATACACCATGAAATATTACTTGGCAGTAAAAAGGAACATAATATTGCTAGAATTTGGATGAATCTCCAGGAGGAAATATGCTGAGTGAAAAAAACAAGTCCACAAAAGTTACATACTGTATGATTCTTTTTACATAATATTTTTGAATGACAAAATTTTAGAACTGGAAGAGAGATTAATATTTGTCAGAGGAAAGGGGATAGAGAGAGGTGAGTGTAATTACAAAAGGGCAACACAAAGAAGTGATCTTGGTGGTGTTAATACTATTTAGTATCTTGACACTCTAAACACAGGTGATAAAATATTATAGAACTTGACACCTAACCCCAAGCAGTCATACACACACATTCTCCCAATGAGGACAAGTAAAGGTGGGGAATGCTGAATAAAATTGGTGGGTTATATCAATGTCAATATCTTAATTGTGATATTATACTATAGTTTTGAAAATGTTTCTGTTTAGTAGAAAGCTAGACAAAGTATATAAGGAATATGCAATATCTTTCTATCATTTCTTAAAGCTGCATATGAATATACAATCATTTCAATAAAAATACCAATTAAAATTGTAAACCAAGACTACTTTTCTTAGTAAATCTTTTTTGGGGAGAGTTGGAAAATACAGTTATGCTTTTGTAAATATGTTATTTATGTTATCATATAATGAGCTTACTTTTATTATTAAATGAACTCATAAATGTTTGAAACACAAACTTGGAAATTCTCTTAGTCATCATTTACTTTCTCCCCTGTTTATACTAAGGCATACTGTATATAAATTGTAAAGTAATTCTTAGGTATTTTTATTTTCACTTCATGTTTGCAAAATAATTCTGTTATTAAAAACAGAACCTTTTCTTATGCTAATACATACAAAGTGAAGCTGGAAATGCTTTTCAAAGAAGGCAATTGTTGAATTATTTTTCTAGAAAGTATAGGAATTGCACTTAAGAAGACCACATACAAACTTACAAGTGGTAAATACATAAAATAGAGAAGGGTTAGTTACATTAAAAATAATTTTTTACATTTTATAATGTAAGTTACTGCTTATTACTTTTAGCAGTGAACTTTCCTGGTTCATTCAAAATGTAGCTGAATTTAAAAGTGACAGTAAGAAATATTCTGTGCTCAACTTGCCTCATAATACTAAGTCTGATAGCCTCAATGGCAAGAGTTGTATTCACAGTACTTGGAAGATTGAATTCTCCACTTGCCACTAAGAAGCTACTCTAAAATAGGGAAATTACTAACATAGTTCTTGTTTGAATTCATAAAACTTTGATATACAACGTTGTGCTAAGGAGCATTAGTAGGTTGGTTAGGCAGTTATAATGCAAATTAAGACATTTCTAGCATTTAATTTCAGA